TTAAGCCGTGCGGCCAAGTATCTTGCTGTATGTTTATTCCGGTGGCAACAAAAATAAATTGGATTTCGGTAATTGAGAATTATGTCAACCTAATATATTTAACTTGAGATAAACAATATTGTAGAAAGTTCACACCAAGGAAACAAAGAAGAATCGTGTACACGTATAATGAGAAGTTTTTGTTACTAGTGATGTTTAAGAAAAAAATATTAACTTAACAGAAAGATATTATGTTATTATAATATTTATTTTCTTTATTTCGTGTATCGCAACAGCATCCTTTTATTCCGACAAGATATAAGTTGCTGATTACAAGTACAAAAATACTTTGATACATTCAAACGATATCTAAAATGGACGCGCAAAAACGTTCCTTAAAAATGAACGTTGGCATAAAGTTATTTGGTTGCGATTTTAGAACTCTAAGATGACTAACGAGATAACATCATTGTCCGTATGAGTAAACATAGTAGCCCCATATATCTTTGACTGTAGTGTCCAATCGCTAATAATTTTTCTGGTTGGCTTATCTAAATTTGCTATAGGATTTCACAAAAAAAAGTTTCACAAATTAGGGACCAGTAGTGAATTTTGGGGGAGGGAGGGGACGGCACCGGTACGATAACGATTTGATGGCCTTTGTTTTCGTTTTGATGGGAAGTGCGTTAACTTCAACGTACTTGAACTTCGCGTACTTGTTTAACTTTATAATTATTATTATTTTTTTTCATTTAAAGTCTCAATGAGATGTGCACGGAAAGCGCTTTGGAGCCAGCGATCCAGTTGTATATGATAACATAACAAAATAGGTTTGCCCTGCCCTAGTGGTTTCCATGTATCGCACTTTGTTTTGTAATGCGAAATGTAACCAAATCAAGATTTCAGAGCCGTTCGCGAATAGTACGACTTGGGTATTTGCACAGCCGTTTGTTATGCCCGAGACAACTCTTGCTGGACACATACTGATAAGAAGCAGTCTCCTGACACTGCGACCAACGTCTGTCGACATAATGATGAATGTTTTATCAGCAGCTACCGGGGACAGTGCACTGTTCCGTCTCCGGAATTCCCATCAAAGACTATGCAGAGTTATCGCGACCAAATCGTTGTTTTACATAATAGAATTAGAATATGCCTGCCAGTCTATGTATTTTAAACACTATATACAATAATAATAACTTGTACTTGTAATCGACAGCATAAACTTTTTAAATTAAATTTCATAGCGTATTATGTTAGTGGAAACGAATTTTCACAGACATGGTGTGCACTGAGAGTTTAGGCGCACCAATAACGCTTTTACCATAACGTATGCACGAATAGCCGAATTGGTCAGGAAAGTCGACTTAGGTCCCATCGAGGTACCTTAATCCCATTAAACGAACGAAACAACAAATTTTTAAGTTCTACGCCAATTCTTTCATATTGGATTTCTGTTTGGCGGAGGAGGAATTTAAGCGATTTTGAAATTCAATATTAAGCTTTTTTTTTTGTAAAAATGACACGGACATGAGATAATTTTGTATTTTTTTTTGACGTTTCTACTTTTGTAATGTACTACTTAGAGAAAACTGTTTGTTTCCAAACGCATTCAAAAAACAATAGTAGCCTCAAGAAATCAGAGAAAGTGACAATTATTATTGCGTGCAAAATTATTTATTCCTTTTTAAAATCGGAGAGAAAAAAACACCACTGACTAAGTACTAATGCCTACTTAAAATACGCTTTTTTTTGTGTGGCCAATTCTCTACAAGTATAACAACATCGCGAATAGTTAATGAAAGATTATACTTATCGTACGGATTATGTAAATAAGATTTCGGGAAAATCTCGCAAGGTCCAATGTTTAACCTAAAGCTTTACTCCCTCCTCGCTACAATTATTATTATTTAAAACAAGAAAATTATCAAAACAACAAAAAAAAAAAAAATTATACAAAATCATAATGAATAACCATCAGATTTAAATATATTAACTGATATTTTTGAATGCCTTTTTAATTCATTTTAAAGCTTTGTAATGTTTTAATTAGCATGACAATAATTATTCAAACGCCATCAAAACTTAGTCTTTATTTTATACTGTGTTGACAAGGCATAATACCGTTGTTTTGATTATGTTTTGCTATAGTTAATTTTGTAAAGCTCGAGGACGGTATAAAAATCGTTTTTATAAGATATAGTATTGTTTGTTTTTAGGAATATTATTTTAATAATTTATTTGTTGAATTTATAATGCAAAAATGTTTATATTTTATAATTTAAAAAATTCAGATTTATAAAGACAGTATGACTTGCTACTGCTGATTTCTTATATAAAATCCGAAATAGAGTCTAAAAAAATAATATGTACCTATTCCTGTTTAGCGATCGACATTTATATTTAATATAAATGACGTTACCGAAGTGTCCAAATCTAGTAAATATTGAGTATCCCAATTGTCCTTTTGTCCTACATATTTATCCATCTTAATTTTTTCAAAATTGCCGTAGTATACTTTTACTTTCCGCTGGTGATGTAAAACTTTGTACAATTAACTTTCAAAGTTGTGCGATTAACGGTAGATATTAGTTTGAATGCATTGAACATTTCCCACTAGTAGTAGAACTGCCAGTGCCGATATTAAGCTAAAGTCCGTCAAGTCGAGCTACTTCAATTATACAAAACAATGCACGCGAACAACAAAGCACTATCGATATTCAATAGTTGACGGTATGGTTGCCGAATCAAACTATTTTAATTGACAATAGTGTTTTGTGTGTGATGTAAGTTATAGTTGACTCGGTGTTGATTTGGACATTGTTACAGCGCATAGGTTATGGTTAACATTTTCTTTTGAGTCGCCTAATGAGTTCTAGATTCATCAACAATTAAATTTTTATGCTCTGGTAATTACGATCACCATACTGAATACAATTTCATTTGATTCCAGGTAAATTATACTTAGCTATTTTATGATGTAACCTGTAAATGGTTCGTGATTTACATGTATACTGTAACATATTATAAGTTTTTGTAGTTAAACTTTAATTGTTTTCAAAATAATACCTTTTAACTATAAATAGTAGAGGCTCTAGAATAAAAAAAACATATATTATAAACCATCCAAACGTCATCATTTGGGAACAATGGGATCCATAGAAATAATCATTAAATAGGTACCATTAAATTGGGTTTTGGATATCCGTAACAAAGCGTTTTGGCTGTTTGTCGTTGATAAAACATTTGCACATGTGAGCAAATCCGGATCCTATTAATAAAATCACATATTCATGGGAAGCCAGTTCCTGTGAAAGCTTTGAAGCCAAAGCAATATACTCGTATGCCAGCAATAGTAACTATACAATTATGTATAAAAATTCAGAGAAATTGAAATAAATTAAAAACGCTTTGCTAGTATTGTATACACATTCTATTGTGTTGTGTTGTTGGGGTGTGTGTATATATATATATGTGTATTATGAGATTTTGCGTGCAACCAAACTCGCGAAATGCCATTATACAATTGGTAGGTAATAATGTGATGTAGACGACGAATGAAGTAAGCACAACAATACAAAAAGAATATGCAATGGGATTTTTTGTATGTTGCGCCAAAAATGGGACGAGTTTACGAAATTAAATTTGCTTTGAAAATAAGTTTTGCCAAAGTGTATGAAGATTCTTTAGTAAAATTGCCGATTTCACTTTAGCAAGCCTATATTTTTGGCAATAAAGTTGAAATTTTAGACGTTCGAAAATAAACTTTTAAAACAAAGTATTTATGAAATTAAACAAAACCGTTCATGTTGCTGCCTAAAAAATGTATACTTTCAATTTGCTATGACATAAGCTGAGCTTTGATAGAATTGTTATCTGATATTTGGTTGTAATCATAACGACAATAATGTCCAAAACTGCCTAACCAATATTTATTTTATACAATATTTTTAAAAAATGTAGTAAGAAAACGCATTGTAATTTCTAAGTAATTACAAAATGTCAAACGCCGAGTGTCATTAAAAAACAGGTAAGACGCTTGGACAAATGGCGTAAACTCAAGTCACGTCTTCAAAACTTGACGTCGACATAATTCCCGCAGACGTGTCCGTTGACTTACCATCCTAACTTTTTTCCTTCATTATAATATCAATGTTTTTAACTTTTGGATAAAATTAGTCAACGGTTAAGTCATTAAAAATTGAATAGCTTATTTGTATAGTATCAAATCAATATGAGTACTAGAGTTTACTAGAAAAGTTAACATACCCCTCAAGTTGATAATAAATTCAAACGATATTAATAATAACTGTGTACAATCTCCAACATTCATTTTTAGTCGTTTTCAAATAAAATTACAAAATCTTCTTAGAATTTTATGCTACAGTAATTTTTTTTTTGTAATTATAATTGTTTTAGCTATAAAAATGTTTTATTTTAATTCGTACGCTCATTTTGTCTTCACGTGTTACATAAATTTGCCTCACTAAATCAAAAAATCATTATTTTATCTATAATATCATTATTATTTAAATAAGCCAATTATGTATGTAGGGTACTGAAAAACTTTAAAAACTTATTTTCAAAAATTACCCTAAACAAATATTTTGAACTTAAACAATGAAGTTTATTCTAGATAATTTAACATAATGAAGATTTTCTATAGAACTTTTTTAAGCTATAATAATAATTTCATAGAAAACATTTTTAATGCAACATACAATTTTGATTAAGGTGTATTCACTAAAATAGTGACAATAATAGTTTATTAAAAGTACGCTTTTGGATATATTGTTATATTTTCATCTTATTGCAAATGTACACTCGTTTGCTTTCATCAATTAAAAAAAGCCTTAATTGATAATAATACACTACTTAAAATCAAACAATAACTAATTTGAAAAAAATAATATTTACCACGTTTAAATTGATATTTGATTAGTAAAGAACTTTTTTCTATAAAGGTTTATAGTAAAAAATTAAAACTACTATAATTTGTATAATTGATTTTTCATACTTACATTTGGCGATAATGCAACCGTTAATGCAAAGCAATGCAACAATGATCAGATGTTCGTTGGCCATGTTAATTTTCGAACAACGAATTCCAGTTTAGTTGAACTTTTTGAATGTATGATTGTACATTTTGTTTCCTTCGAAGCCCATTTTTATGTGAAGTTGGCCTAGAAAATTAAACGTAGCATTATAAATTATATATAATATTGTTGTGTATGATAGTAAACTACCAAGAAAACTACATTTTTTTTTTTTAAAACTAGTATAACATTAGGTGTTAATAGGTTTTCAAGGCTTGTCATAAACTGCCGGCATAAATCGATAAAGAAATAAATCAATTGTAATTAACGCACTCGGATAATATTGGGGTTAAAATAATATCATTATTTACTAACTTTTTTTGTATGTTTTTATTATTTTTTGAACCTCTGTGATACGACAGAGCATATTTCGGATTAAAGTAACTGCAAACAAAACAATACGAAAAAAAAAAACGAGTAAATTTTTCACCGGGCGTTTTTTTTTTTTTTTGTAGACTTTTCTGACATAAACATAAATGGTGGGAAAAGAAGTCTATTGGGATTAGGGACACGTCGAAATAAATCAGGTACAGCATTTGTAAAACTAAACGAAGCGGATGACGTACAACTGGAGAAAAAGCTGAACAACAATTTTAAGCTCTAGTGTCCCATTCTTTTTATTATTTATTTATATTTTTAACGTCCGATGATTTGTGTGACGACTTTTGAACGCCGGTTCATTGCAGGCGTTCGCGTGACTTGCATAAGGCAATGATTACAATAGTGTAGTAATAATACTTATTATGGCTTAAAGAAAAACGGCGACTGCACACTGTAATAGGCGAATGATCTATATGCACGGTTTAATCATTTTTAGCGTATGAAATTATGGCATGTTAATACTTAACGGCCAGACGAGGAGTTTATCAATTTCAACACGTGTAACGTATACGAATTAAACTTCCGACCGGGAAGACGTTATTTATGCTCTTTTCAAGATTAATGGAATGTCTGCGCTGTATTATTATTATTATTATTATTGCATAACGCACTAAACGACTGGGCGGTACTGCAGTTGTATTATGATAGTATCACTTACAAAGATATTATACAAGTGTGCGGTTTGGTGTTACAACAATGTTTTTAAAATTTTTTATTTTTGTTTTGTGTCTGGTTATCATCTTGTATTAATCATCGGGTAACACAAATTTAACTAAACAAACTAACACCCGATTTTAAACATATATTTTATTTATCTATTTCTTGATTTTTTTCCCCCATCCCCTCTTTTTTCTAGCCTCCTCCAAATCCATTCCTATATTTATGACGATTTTTTTTCATGTAACATCCGTTATTAACAGCGTAGGGATGAAGGTGAGTAGATTGCGTGGTTATGGGGTTATAAGCGGCGGCAGTATGTCACGCACGGTCGTCGGTTCAATTTTCGGTCAATGACAGTTTTTTCTCTGTCTGTAGACAAAAAATAACTATATGTTCTACCCGTGTCGTCGTCCCAAACTTGTTCGATGGACGTTACAGAGGTAGCCAACGACCAGATGTAAAAATCATAAGTCCTATCATCCCCCGAGCCCGTTTGATAGGGGTGGACGCAAGACGTTAAGCCGGAAAACGTTCGGTTGAACTAATTAATGGGCTTCATTTTACAGCACGCCGTGTTAACGAAAATACTCTGTTAAAATATCCAAAAACATCCTAAGATACACGTCGTATATATGTATAATAGATTTTCACTTAGCCGGAAATCGATTAGCAGCCCGAGTGTGGTGTTCATAGATGTGCTCTTTGTGAACAAAACCAACTTTCGAGTATTACAAAATAAATATTTGTCTAAGCACGTATATGATATTATAGGCGGCACGTCAAGACTAATGCCAATCGAACGTCTCTCTCGTACTCATTAAATATCTTGAAGTTTTATATTATACTGAAATCAATCGCGTGCAAGGGAAACGTTCCTTGAAATCCTTTACGACCTCCCAAATAAATAAACACAACTACGACGATCAATTGCCCGTCGCTTGTGAATCATTTCTCGAAAACAGTCCTTAAGTTGACTTCTGTGTAGAAGAGTATAAAAAGAACTTTTATTACTTGTCTCCAGTTTCTCCGTGTATGCGATAAAAATCGTATATCCGGTACATGTGATGCACAGAGGATTTATAAAGCATTCGGCGGAGTAAGGGTGGAGGAATGAACACATATTTGTCAGTATATTTATTTAAAAGTCGGTGTTTGTAAATATTTGTTTTGTAAAAAAAAAGTCATTTTTAAAAGATTCATTTAATTACTTTATAATAAGAAGAAATGCTTCAGAAGAAATGTGCATAAAGTTGGGAAACATATTAAGTAAATCCGATTTTCTATTAATTTCAAAATAAACTCTATCTTAATGAGTTGGACTGAAAATAACATACATAATGTACTGCTAATTTATATCAGTACAGAACAAAAAATACTTCTTTACTATAAACATGAAAAATATTTCTTTATTATAAAATTCTATTTTTATATTTAATATGAAAATAAAAGATTTTATGCCCTATTATTTTTTACCAATTTAATATAAAAAGATTTACTGAATCCGAGTACTCTTGATCCAATGTCATTACATAAATCTATAAGGAAACAGAGTTGTACTTACGAAATCCTTCAATAAGGTCTAAAAAATAAATAAGTTTTCCCTTTATTCAACTGCAGACGATATTGATGTAACCCTATAAAATATTGTAGCTACTTAACCAATCGATTATAATGTACCTTTCTTACTTCGGGTAATCCACTAAACTCTAAAAAGATTTCAAAAAGTTCAAAATTAGTAAAGTTTTCCCTGCTTTTTTTAAAAACATTTTGTTGATAGGATACAATCATTTCCCTGGAAACTTATCCAAAGCATTCAAATAATATTTCATTACGTCGAAACGGAATCCTCATTTTTCCTCTTGTTTATTCGCATTTTATACATAATATAAAACATTGAAAAAAGTGGAATTTTTACAAATGATGATATAATTATTTTATTAGAACTGAAAATTATTACTGTTTACGTTTGTAAGGTTACGTGAAATAAGGTCTGGCGTTCAAAATAGATTAAATCCATTTTAAAAAAATTTACAGAAGATAAAAAAACGGAAAAATTAGAGTTTTTTTTTAGTTTTGTAACGCATTGTGCAAGCTACATTTTGACGCCAAAAAAAAATGTTATAAAAAGTAATGTATATATAAATAAAAAAAAAAAAAAAGTTTGGTATTTAAAAGATAGATTGTTTAACACCATTATCGCAGTTGAAGGGGCCTCTGTTAATAGTCTGTACTTCTATAAACGGACAAACTACATAATAAAAAATTGCTTTGAACCGAGTAGATTCAGACATTCTGATTAGACATATGTGACCCGGTATGCGGTGGCGTATGACATGACAACAAACGAACAGGAAGCAAATACTTTTGAGCCCATGAATACGATTGGATTTTGTTAATGCATTCCATTGCAACCACTCCAATACGCCGCGTGTTCGGTGGTCGGAATTGTATTTTAAATCTGATATTAATCCACGATTAATTTCAATGCCGCCGGATTACATTTCCCCTACACCATATAATAGAATATCAAATTATAATAATAATAAAAACTCTATTCAATTTATAATTCAAAATTCCGTTAAGCAGTTGAGAAGCAGCGATGGCGGTTCGATAGCGTCTTTGTTTATGATCAACGGTAATTTTGTGTGGGCAATTTTTTTTATAGGTTTAAAAACGTAACGATGTCTTGCGCGATCAAAAATACTTTTTGCAGATTTGCTTCCAAGTTGAAAATGAAAAATTAATTTTTTATCCGAATACGTCGTTAACATGAAAAATATTGCGATTAAATGTAAAATATTCAATTACTATCCGGTTAAGGTATAATGAAAAATTATACTACGAATTGTGCACTATGCGCCGGTGAACAATTTAGTATTTCAGACTTTATTACAAACAGATTTCTTGTTATTTATTTAAAACGAGATCCAAAACAAACATAAAAAACGAAAGTTAAGTAGGTATTTTTATTGCTATTAAATTATGTTCGTCGGAAGCAATAACATACACACAGCTAGTATACAAATTTGCTGAGTTTCTGAAAAGTCATTATATTATGGACTAATGAGGTTTCACAGGGAGGCGACGACGTGTACGCTTTTTGATTGTAAATTATTAAAAAATGTTATGACGCGTAAAGGCATTTGAATAAGTGGCGCTATTTATTAAACACTTCCCGATTCCTGAAAATGTCGGCAGTTACTATATATATATTTATAGAAAAGAAAAAATAATTAGAATTCTACTGTGTTGATCAATTTCATTTTCGCATTCTTAGAAGTCAATTGCTCACTCAATAGGAAAACATGCTTTTATAATAAAATGCATCGTTGACGTGACGTTGATACAACAAAAACAGAGATCCTATTATAAAGTACTTTTTTATTTTGTTTTAAAAAATCCTCAATTGTTTAGCAGCCATCACCATCGTCCATATATCACATTTAAGCGGATAAGTATACTATAATCACTACTACATATTAGTCGACTAGAACCGATGGATCGTATAACGACTACAAAATCTTAATTTTAAATCTATCGACTGTAACTATAATATAATAAGTAATCATCTGTTTTCTAAATAATATATCGTTCTTATGTCGTTTTTTATTTCAAGGCTGTGACGTTTTCGGTTGTAATCAAAACGGACTATATGAGTTACAAATTAATTTTGTAATTAAAAAAACAACCAACCAGTTTGTAAAGGAAATTGTCCTTTTTTTGTTGCATTGCGGTCGACTCGTTTGACGTGGGTTTAACTGGTTATTGTTCGTTATGACTTCACTTGTGCATATTGTTTTCGGTCCGTCTAATTATTTCAAGTAACATATCTCCGTTTTATCAATAACAGTTTTAATATTTCTCCCGGCGCTGTTTTCGGCTTTATTTGATTGCAAATTGCAGTTTTCTCATTGTTTATTCGCACTTTTCAAATTTATTCCGAGAAAGTTTGTATCGTTATTATGTTGTTTGTCGACAAAATTGTCTCATCTCCGTTATTAAAACAAAATCAATGTTAAAATTAAAAATACCTGGATAATGTAAAA